ATAGAATAGAATAGAATAGAATAGAATAGAATAGAATAGAATAGAATAGAATAGAATATTGGCCAAGTATGTTAACATATAAGGAATTTGACTTCAGTGCAAAGAGCTCTCAGTGTGTTTGCATAGCATCAAGAATAAGAAGAATACTGATAACAACAGCAACAACATTATACTAAAAAACTATGCAGTCAGAAGAGAATTAGAGGAAAGATAGTACTGTGGCTATTAACTAACATATATTCATTTTTAAAAAGGAAAAGCTATTATCTAACACGTATTCACATTTACAGAGCATTATCAGTCATGTCTTAGCAGTCATATCTAGATAGTACTGTGGCTATTAACTAACATATATTCATTTTTAAAAAGGAAAAGCTATTATCTAACACGTATTCACATTTACAGAGCATTATCAGTCATGTCTTAGCAGTCATATCTAGATAGTACTGTGGCTATTAACTAACATATATTCATTTTTAAAAAGGAAAAGCTATTATCTAACACGTATTCACATTTACAGAGCATTATCAGTCATGTCTTAGCAGTCATATCTTCATGCAGTGTCAACCATTATATAGCATACTGCATTAATTAGGTGTTTAGCAGAGCAATGGCACGAGGAAAAAAACTGTTCCGATGTCTAGATGTTTTAACATAAGGTGCTCTATAGCACCGTCCTGAAGGGAGAAGTTGAAACAATTTATGTCTGCAGATATCTTTTCTGCCCTCCTTTTGACCCTCACAGTATTCAGATCTTCTATAGAAGGGAGGTGGATTGCAATTATTCTTTCTGCAGACTTAACTATCTGTTGGAGTCTGTATCCACCCTGTTTGGTTGCGGAGTCGAACCAGACATTTATACAGGAACAGATAACAGACTCAGTGGTTCCTCTATAAAAGATCCGGATTTGATCCTGTAATGCAAGTGTGATCGAACCCAAGGTCATACCACCAAAATAGCACCAAAATAGCAGAATTTCAGCAGTATGATTTCAGGTTTTCAGGAGTTATACAATGTTTCTTGTAACAATCTAGAATCATCAGATGGCCCCCAACTCTTCAAACATTGCACAGTCCTGCAATAATAGGAAACTAATGCGGGAAGTTTTGAATTATAGGGAATGCACGGAGATAGTACAGTGACATTCTGTTCTAACAACTATAGCTTGTTAGAGCAACATAATGGGATGAACTTCTTCAGGAAAATGCATGTTTATCATATAAGGCCTTTTGAAAGGATTATGGGTCTTTTCAGTTTTCATTAATTTGTTTCTAATCTTTAGAAGGACTTGCCTACCAGCAGAGATGACTTTTAGAAAGTTTATATTGAGAAATTGTTTGTATGGATTCTCTTTATAGGAACCCATTCATGTACCTGATCCTGTTGTTTCAATAACAATGAAGCCATGCAACAAGGTAGGAGTTTGAAGTAAAAAACTGGTGGAATAAATTATGTGATCTGAGTGGGGCTTTTTGATAGTAATGGATAAGGGTATGGTTTTACTTCTGCCATTAAAGAATAATTGAAACATATTTCAGTACAAAAGCTCCTTTTCTGCTACAGGTAGTCCTTGCTTAACAATGGTAATTGGGACTGGAATTTCCATCGCTAAGTGATGAAGTCATAAAGCGTGACATCACGTGACTGCATCGCTTGCAGTAGCAATCCCAGCAGTCCCTGCTGCTGTCATTAAGTGAGGATCACGGTTTGTTAAGTGAGGACCTCATGTGACTGGGACTAGTGACTTCCTACCGGATTCCCACAAAGTAAAGAGCAACCAGCAACCTTCCCTGCTGGCTTCCCCATTGACTTTGCCAAGTGCCCAAATCATGATCATGTGTCTGTGGAGTGCTGTGATGGTTGGAACTTTGAGAACTGGTCATAAGTATCACACATTCAGTGCTGCTGTAACTTCAGTAGTTGAACAAGTGGTCATTAACCAAGGACTACCTGTAAACATTTGATCTAGATCTGTTTTTTGTCATCATTTGGAATGAGCAGGTGATGATGGCCCTGGATTGGACTGCTCCTCAGTGGCCTTTCCTTTTTATGCTGATCCCTGGGGACTCCTTTGTTTTACTGAACAGCTCTGGGAAAGGAAGTAACAGAAGAGATGCCTAGAGCACTGCTGGAGAAAAATTAGGAGCAAGTCTGACTGGATACATAAATGATCCTGTATTAAGGACTACACTGTGATGATAAGAGCAGCAAACTGTAAATATTTTTCTACTACTACAGTGGTACCTCGGTTCACGAACTTAATTTGTTCCGCAACTCTGGTCGTGACCCGAATTGGTCACGACCCGAATCAAATTTTCCCATAAGGTTCAATGTAAATACGGTTAATCCGTTCTGACTCCTCCGAATTTGGTCGCCAACCGATTTTGGTTGCGACCTGAATCAAATTTTCCCATAAGGTTCAATGTAAATACGGTTAATCCGTTCTGACTCCTCCGAATTTGGTCGCCAACCGATTTTGGTTGCGACCTGAATCAAATTTTCCCATAAGGTTCAATGTAAATACGGTTAATCCGTTCTGACTCCTCCGAATTTGGTCGCCAACCGATTTTGGTTGCGACCTGAATCAAATTTTCCCATAAGGTTCAATGTAATTACGGTTAATTGGTTCTGAACCATATGTATTTTTTTTTTTAAAACCACAAAAATAGGACACACAGTACAGTACGAAGAGAGAGAACGCTAACCTTGCTCGACGCAACTTCTGGTGTGGAGGACAGGAAGGTGGGTGGGGAGGCGGTTATTGC